TATATATATATATATATTAGGGTTTATGTATGAAGGTTGTTAGTTAGGATGGTTTATTATTGTAATGAATGAGGGTTTGCTAGGGTTTAGGGTTTAGGGTTTGAGTTTGGGTGCAGATTCTAAACACCCTCAAGGCGTGCGACTACGAGTGGCATCTTGTCTCGCAGTATAAACTGCGCTGTCGCCCGCTTAGGCCTCCGCAGCCGGAGGCCCCTCAACCAAGCAGCAGCAGCAGCAGCAGCAGCAGCAGCAGCAAAGAGGAGTTTGCATGCGAGACAGAAGACATCATTTTGTCGGTTCAGCTCTTTAAAGTCGGCAGCTGCCGTTACGTCATCGATGTGCAGCTGTTTGAAGGATGCGCAATGGGTGAGCACCCAGCTAGCTAGCTAGCTAGCTAGCTAGCTAGCTGCACGGCTAGTTGCATGGCTAGCTAGCCATGCAGAGTGTAGGGATGGGTAGCTGCGCACGCAGACACTAGGTAGCTAGCTAGCTGTATGGCTATCTATCTATCTAGCTAGCTAGCTAGCTAGCCATGCAGACTAGAGGGATGGGTAGCTGTGCACGCAGACAGCTAGCCATCCAGCAGCCCGCTATTCATACGGCTAGCTACGTAGGGAAGGAGCTAGCTGGCTAGCTATAACTACCTGGATAGCTAACTAGCTAGCTAGCTAGCTAGCTAACTGCTGAGAGTTTAGGGTTTGGGGTTAATGGTTTTCTTCTGCTGGGGGTTATGCTCGTTTACTGTCAATGTTGCTTGCATATTTATTTATTTATTTATTTATTTATTTATTTATTTATTTATTTATTTGGGGTGTATGTACATCGCAGTTTCCATATCAGAGGCGCTGTGGGTGACGTCAGCGATATACTCTGCGCTGACGCAGCTGCAGCGGCAGCAGCAGCGCTGCAGGCTGCATGCGCCTTCTCCGCAGCAGCAGCAGCAGCAGCAACAGCAGCAGCAGCAGCAGCTCTCAACACCTCCCTTCTTGCTGCCTACCTGGTCGCCAACAAACCCCGTGACTCTGTCCTCAGGGGGCCCTCCCCACAGACTCTTCGCTTGAGCATGCATGCATGCATGCACTTGCATGCATGCATGCACTTGCATGCAACCGCATGCATGCATGCAGTTGTTTGTATGCGTGCATGCATGCAGTTGTATGCATGCAGGGATGCAGTTGCATGCATGCAGGGATGCAGTTCTATGCATGCATGCATGCATGCATGCATGGATGCATGCATGCATGCATGCATCCAGGGATATATATATATTTAGGCAGTGTAGTGCGTGCTGCACCGCCTGCATGCACCAATTCGTGTCAGGTATTTTATTTGCTTGCATGCATGCAGTGCAGATGGGGCACTGTTGGGGCGTGCTGCTGCTGCTGCATGCAAACAGCAGCAGCAACAGCAGCAGCAGCAGCAGCACACCCTGGCTATGCAACCCCGTGATTTCGCCACGTGGAAGGTTTGCTGCATGCGGAAGCATCAGCAGCAACATCAGCAGCAGCAGCAGCAGCTGCTGCTCTTGATGCTGCTGCTGCTGCAGGATAGCGTGGGGCTTGTGGAGGGTTGTCGGCAGGGCGCAGCAGGTGCATGCATGCATGCATAGATGCATGCATGCATGCATGCATGCAGGATTGTTTGTTGATTTTTAGGGTTTTTTGAGGGAGCCCCAACCCTGCTGCACGCGGTTTATGATATTATGAAGGAAGTCAGGGCCTGCTGCTTCTTGTATTTCTTTTGCTGCTGCTGCTCCTACTTCTGCTGCTTCCTCCGGTGTACGTACACCTGCAGCAGCAGCAGCAGCAACGTGAAACATTCTAGACCCGTCAGGTTCACCAACAAACCCTCTGAACTCCAGGCCCTGCTGCTGTTGCAGCTGCTGCTGTTGCTGCTGCTGTTGCTGCTGCTGCTGCTGTTGCTGCTGCTGCTGCTGCTGCTGCGGGTGAAGCAAGGCAATGGCGCCGAGAGGGGTCCTGCAGCTGCCGTCTAGCTGCTGGAGGAATGCGCGTTCTGCTGCTGCTGCAGTTGCTGCAGCAGAGTTGTTTACTGGCAGCAGCAGCTGCAGCGTGCTGCAGTCATCAGAGCGGCATTGAGCAGCAACAATACCTTGACCTGCTGCAGGGATGAAGCAGAGTTTAGGGAGGAGAACAGCAGCAATGTCTTCATATGGCTTCTCTAATCGAACTGTCTCCAGTTTCCTTGCTGCTGCTGCTGCTGATACCTGCTGCTGCTGCTGCTTCTGCTGCAGCAGAGACAGCCGCAGCAAACCTGCTGCAGCAAGCAGAGTGCCGTCCACTTCGCCTTCTCGCAGCTTCCGCAGCCGCGTCTGCACATTGCCCCGCAGCAGCACACAGCGGACTCGTGCTGCTGCTGCTGCTGCTGTTGGTGCTGCTGCTGCCGCTGCAGGCCTGCTGTTAACAAGGTTCAGCAGCAAGGCTTGTCTCCTCAGCGAAGCGCTGCCAATCAAAATTTCGTCCCCGCTGCTGCTGCTGCTGCTGCTGCTGTTGCTGTTGGTTTCTGTAACTATGATAGAGTTTCTGTGGGGGTCTGTTTGCTTTGCTGCAGCAGCAGGAGTTGCTGCTGCAGCTGCAGCGGCAGCAGCAGCAATAGCCTCAAGGAGAGGCTGTATTTTGTGTTTGTTTTTAGCTACAAACAGCAGCACATCTTGAGGAGCTTCTCGCTGCAGCAGAGCAGCAAGCGTTGTGCTGCGCGGCAGCAGCACACCCACGTCTTTTAAAGAATGTACAGCAAACTGAATTTGCTGCTGCTGCACTGCCTCATCAAGCTCCTTACTAAACAAACCCTTCCCACCCAGCTGCAGCAGCTGCTGCTGCAGCTGCTTATCTGCTGCTGTCTGATAAGGAATAATCTCAGCTTCACCATACCGCAGCCGCTGCTGCAGCGCAGCAGCAGCAGCAGCAGGCAGGGCCCCTGCTGCTGTCGCCGCCAGCAGCTCGCTGCACTTATCCCCCAGCCGTTCCCGCTGCAGCAACTGCTGCTGCTGCTGTTGCTGCAGTTCCTGCTGCAGCAGATGCTGCTGCTCCTCCTCCTCTAGAAATGCAGCAACAGCAGCAGGAAAACGCTCAGCAGCAGCAAACACCACCTTACGCAGCACCTCCTTTGCCTGAACTAAAGCCAAAGGAGACCACCGACTCCCCACACGCAGCAGAGGCTTCTCCTTTTCTGCTGCTGCTGCTGCTGCAGCAGCAGCAGCTGCTGCTGCTGCTGCGGTGGGAGGGGTGAGGGGCGGTGCGCCTCGGCGTAGCCCCCGCAGCAATCTGCTGCTGCTGCTGCTACTGCTGCTGTTGCCATGAATGCTGCAGCAGCAGCCGCTGCTGCTGTTGCTGTTGCTGGGAATCACAGGGACACCAACAAACCCCACGGGGCCCCGATATACTTGCTTCCCGCTGCATGCGCTCAGCTGCAGCAGCAACGGCAGCAGCAGCAGCAGCTGCTGCTGCTGCTGCAGCAGCAGCATCAAGTGTATGCCAACAATCTAAAACTCAAAAGTAGTGTGCTCCGCCCCCAAACCCTAAACCCTAAACCCTAAACCCTTTCCCGCGCATGCACGGGTTCCCGTGCCCGTTGGCGCGGCTTAGAAGGCAGCAGTTAGGGTTTAGGGTTTAGGGTTTAGGGTTTATAAACAGAAGAACATGAAAACAACAAGGGATATCTCCGCCGCCTGGATACTCCCTGCTGCCTTCGCCAGCCAGTCGGCAGCAGCCGCAGCCGCAGCAGCAGCAGCAGCAGCAGCAGCAGCAGCAGCAGCCGCAGCCGCCGCCGCACCAGGAGCTGCCGACTGCTGCATGTGGCGATAGAGAAGAAGAAAGAAAAAGAGTTGTTCTGCAATATGAGTGATTGGAGGTGATAATACAGCTTAAAAAGGGTGTTTATTACTCACTGCAGCAGCAGCAGCAGCAGCAGTAGCAGCAGAAGCAGCAGCAGCAGCAACAGCAGCAGCAAGGGCAGCAGGGAAGACGCCCGCAACCACAGCAGCAGCATGAAATAACCGTCTCCAGAGACGCTCCTTCGCTTTTTAGCCTTGCTACTGCAACAGCAGCAGCAACAGCAGCAACAACAACAGCAGCAACAGCAGCAACAACAGCCGCAACAGCAGCAACAGCAAACGGACCACCCAGTCCCGTCCCTTGCGCGCGTTGCTGCAGCAGCAGCTGCTGCTGTGCTGCGAGATGGAGAGAAGCGTCTGGCCCAATGAGCCGCTGCTGCAGCAGCAATTGCAGCAGCAACTGCAGCAGCAGCTGCAGCAGCAACTGCAGCAGCCTCCCGACCAAGAAGCAGCAGCAGAAACTGCAGCTCTGCATATTCGAGTCTCCGAAAAGCTGCTGCGGCTGCTGCTGCAGCTAGAGCGAGAGCGTAGGCTCCCCCTAACCAGCAGCAGCAGAAGCGGCTGCTGCTGCTGCTGTTGCCGCTGCTGCTCTTGCTGCAGTTGTTGCTGCTGGCGTTGCTGCGTTCAGTTCTATAGTTGCTGCTGTTGTTACGAGATCTTCTGTGGCTGCTGCTGCTGCCAGTGCTACGTGTGTTAGTCTTACGGTTGCTGATGCTGCTGCTGCTATCGCTGTTGCTGCATGTGCTGCTGCTTTTTTCTCAGCGAGGTTGTTTGCTTCTTCCTATCTGCCCAATCAGCAGCATCTGCTGCAGCAGCAGCAAGAGGAGCTGCTGCAGCCGCTGCAGCAGGAGGTGCTGCTGCTGCTGATGCAGTGTAGCTCACAACAACCAGCAGCAGCAGCAGCAATAGCAGGGCAGGAGGCTGACAAGACAGCAGCAGCAGCAGCAACAGCAGCAGCAGCAGGAAGCAATCTAACGGCTCTGCTGCTGAAAGTTCACCAGTGCCTCGCGCAGCTGCTGACAAGAAAGCAGCAGCAACTGCTGCTGCAGTCCCAGCAGCAGCAGCAGCAACAACAGCAGCAGCAGCAGCAGATTTTTATTAGGGTGTCTCCAGATCCCTCAGCATCTGCAGCAACAGAAGCAACAGCAAG